AGGGCTTAAGTTTGATTTTTTTTTTTTTGCCTCACAACAAAGTAGGTTTTTTGTTGTTGTTGTTGTTGTTGTTGTTTTACTGGTGGATAAAGTTTGTTGTGTCATAAAGCTTTAGAAGCCGAAAAATTTAGCACGTTGTTCGTACAAAAGTTTAAAAAAATGAAAACGGGCGAGTTATCTAGTGCTCGCTGAATTCAGTACACGCGGAAAATAATGAAGTCTACAAATAGGCTATGGTTATAAACCAATATTTCCATCTCCATCACACACGTTTACTGCGGAGTTATAAAATTCAGATTATGCGCTTGACAGCGCTGAATTATTTGTTCAGCACAAAGACGGGCATAACAGCCCGTGACTTTCTCAGCGCTGCGCAGGACCCCCGACATGCGTTTTAATAACATGCCGCTTGAACGAGGGGTGACGTTAAAAAAATCGTAGATTGATGAGCGACATCTCTCATCAATCTACGATTTTCATTTGTCAAGCTGCCATAGAAAAACAACAAGGTGTTCAATGTTTTAGAAAGAGAAAGAAATAAAAAAACAAATGGCGGCTTGCAATATTACTTTGACAAAGTGACCAGTAAAAGATATATCTGAAACAGCTTACAGCATCGTATCTTTTGTGTACATTTCTGTTCAACTTTCTGCTTGGTACAAACCAACATGCTGAAGTAAATTGGCTCTCCTCATAGGAGCGACTAACATTCGTGTGACTATAAGAAGTGATGGTTTTCACGTATTAGAACTTCTTAGAGCATTGCGCTGTACGCATAATCCGAACAATCGTACGAACGATACACAGAACAGTGCAATGCCGTCTCCAAGTTACGCGGCTCATTAAGTTCGTCATTTATCTGAAAAACCGGAAACGACCGGAGAGAAGGGAGGCCCGATATCTTTCCTACAAATTCGAGCGATGGAACAGACGGTTTGGGCGTCTGCGTGCGTGAAAGCTACGCGTTGTTTCTCAATCATTTCCGGTTTCGAAACAAACGAAAAATCCTAAATACCTATAACACTATAAAACTCCGAGCCATCTATTTTATTGGCTACGAGTCCCATTTTCCATTAAAGATAAATGTCTAAAGTGTAACATAACGACGTATTGCCCCTGCGTTATTTTTTCTCGTTAAAAAAAAAAGGTGGAACCGCGCCGGCCATTCACTGAAACACATTAGTCGGTGCAGCACGGACACGCGCGCGCAAAGGAGAAAAAAAAATTGAAATAATACTCGCTGCCATTAAGGTTCCCAGTGGCCTTTTTTTTTATTGTCTTTCATCGAAGCAAATCGCGGACTCGGCTCGCAAATACGGTCGGCACGGTCGTTCAGAGACCGACGAACGTAGTTGTAGTAAGCTCGAAGGAAAAATATGAGGCCTTATAGAGCCAGCCTCCCGCCTTCATTCGAGCGCGTCCGCTTTCCCGCATGGCGCGCGTGTTCGGCGGAAAAAACTGCTTTGGCGAGCAAAACTGTGTGCGCGCGCGCTCTCGCACTATAGCGTTGTCATGCACGGGCCACTGAGTTGAATGAAGCATTGTTCCGAGCGCGGTGTGGTCTTGGCCTGATCTTTATGGGTTCGAAGCGTACGCGTGTGTGTGCGTGCGTGTGCGTCGCCAAGACAGATTGCGTATTCAGCGGCAGCTGTTTCAAGAAGGGGATTGTTTGGGGGCGGCGGCATGTTCGGCGAGTCGCTTTATTAGCCTTGCCCGAAAGGGAATGGAGCTTAGTCGCTGCTGCCGTAAGCACAGAGCGCAGCGGGTTCCCATATTGGCGTCGCAGGCGTGGTGTGCGGGGATTTCGTTCGAGGGGCTGCTGTTGTGCTTCGGTCGCATATTAAACGCCTGGTAGCGCGTAATAGGCGCTGCGTTTTTTGCCTTCTTATTTGCTGGACGTGACGCAAACGACAAGAGACAGAGCGAGAGTGGGAAAGGGAAAAAAGAAAAAAAAATGACCGTGTCAAACGCCCTGCCCTTCCTTTTCTTTTTTTTTTTTTTTTTGTTCAATTTAAGGTTTTATGGAACTATTAAGCTTGACTGCGTCTTACCGCGGCATCCAGAAAACTCGCTTGGAGCGTATTCACAAAGGCCTTTCACAAGCCACATTATGATTATTTTGATCTTGCAATGCCTTCAAAGAGTAAATGAAGACTCTGTAAGTCGCGTACAATAGTAAACGGTTGCTTTTTTGCTGCCACCGAAAAAGTTGAGTAATCAGTCGCTGTACTCTGTTAACCCCTAAGCTGATAATGCGGTGGAAGCTACGTGCTCGTTAGACCCATCGTACGTTTATCTTTTGCCACGTGATCACGCTCCTCCCTTCACCCACGCCCAGAGTGCGGGGTGAAAGAAGGAAGCGCACGGGCAGAACACTCCTGTACTCGGGGATAATTTTTTCTGGGATTTCCGAAGAAGGGAAGACCGCGCGAGCACAGGTGCCATCGAAGCTCAATGCGCGCAACCGCAAGGAGACCCATAGCTTTGGCTTCATTGCCAAGAAAAGTTGTACGTTTGCGAGAAAGGCCCCTGTGAGCTCCCATTGTGAGCGATGCTGGCGCCGCGTAACGTTTCCTCCATGCTGGGGTGCGCCAGGGGCACGTCATTGGGGTGCGCGATGACGGGAGGGCGGCGTCTGCTGTATCGCCGACGGCCATCTTTAGCGACACACTTAAGGCAGGTTCAGACACTTCCGTTTGAGTGCGTGCGACTGCGTTGCGCCGAAAACCGAAAGCGAGTCACCGGCACACCTGTGCTTCGTATGAAGCGTGGAATCCAATTCAAGGAATCACCTTGGCACGCGATAAAAGCAGCAGGGATGTCCTGGTTTCTCGCAGCCGTTACGCAGTCAAACGCAACTGTTTGAACCAGGCTTTACCGTTTCGAGACGCAGGAGGAGGTATCCACACAGAATCCAAGCATCCTATGTTGTGGGACAGGGCATGTGTAATGGTTCGAGCTGACTTTTTGACGATCGCAGCCTCTGTTCCAGCGCGTCATGGAAGCCAGAGCTGCAACGAGCGCAGCCATCGTTGATGCAATGGCCATGCGGCTTCTGGCGCATTCTGACGAGCTCTTTGAGACTTTAGATATTTCTGTAATTTCTCCATTTGTTACTGGTTTAGGTATTTTAATTGTTTGTGCTCTTTCGCGGTCGAAAACAACAGATGTATGTTATATATATATATATTTTTTTTTATTATTTCTTCTTGCGCTTAGTGGTGTATGCCTCAGCAAGAGACGCTTTACAAAATTGTACGACAAACAGCGAACGTCCTGGCTGGAGAGTAGGTCCGCCTCGCCTCGGCTCGCGGTTCGAGAGTAAGCCGGGATCCCACTTGCAAAGGTGTATAGAAAATAGTTCAATAAGTCGAGAAAAGAAAACATTACCGTAATATCCCGAGTCATCGCCCATCTCCGAGCCATCGCCCACCCCATTTTTTGGGCCAATATCGATTTCCGAAAAAACACCGAGTCATCGCCCACCCCTTCAAATACCCCAGCGCGGACTCTGCGATCCGCGAACACTCATCCTACCCGAATGACGCGGCCGCGGACCTTACAGTTGGAGGACGTCCGTGACAAAGTAAAAAGAAGGAGGGAAAGACACTTCTTTTTGTTTACGCATTTCCTCCGTGAGCGACCCCAAAGTGGTCGTGTATCCGTGCGAAAAGAAAACGATGGAGATAACAAAATAAGAGTTTGTTAACGTAACCGCGGAGTGTTAGGTCAAAGTCTGTCTCCGCCGAAGTAAGATCACCGCGAACCCGCTCCTTCTTCCCGTTCGTCGCGACTGCGGTTGTGCAATATTTTAGGCAAAGCCAACGCGTAAATAAAGCTTTGCTGGAACGCCCCACACAGACGTTTGCAGAGCGGCCCAACGGTGCATTGATAGCCCGCCGTGCACGGACGCACGTATCTACGCACCAAACAAGAAATTTGCGCAAGAGCTTGCGATTGACAAGGCGCCCGACTTGGCCCGACGCCAAAGTATTTGCCAACGCGACCGCCGGCTTTCCCGCTTTCCCAGCGTTGCTCTTGGTCGCATCTTTGGTCCGCTCGCTCGCTCGCTCGCTCGTTGCGCCTGGTCGGTTTTTCTATTTTCTTGTAAACTTTTCTTTCTTTTTTTTTTTTTTTTTACTAACTAGGAGAACATAGTGGTGACATTTTTTCACGGAACAAATGTTCGCGCTATATGCAGATCGGCGGTGTTTCTAGCGCGTATGCAAGCAACGGACTTCGCTGCAGTAAAATATTCTTTCGTGAGCATTTTTTTCTATAAAACAATGAAACTAAATCGAGTTTTGAGTTTGATATATCTCTTGTGCATCAGCGCTAGATACGCAGAGAAAAATAGGCGGTTTTTCCAGTTTTTTTTCAAGTGTGTGTGCTCACCCACCGAGACATGGCCCACCCCACTTTTTTAATGAATTTCAGGCGGTAGGGGGGTGGGCGATGACTCGGGATATTACGGTATATTACCCAGTTGTGAATCACAAGTATCCGAATTGGAAAACTTATTTGTATACGGACTTTTTTTGTACGCACGTGAAAAGGAGTGTGATGGGGAACAGGGGATTATGGGGAACGGCAGTTATAGTAAAAAAAAAAAAAAAAAAGAAAGAAAAGAAACCGACATTTAGTTATTTTGACCTTGCTCAGGCATGTTCGCTACTACTTCGAGCGTCCTTGTTGTGTTCGTCAGTTCAGCAAGAAGCCAAAACTCACTTGGACTAAAAAAAGAGTTGAGATTGTGAAGCAGTATAGGTCTGTAACTGATATGATTCGATAACTACTGTATCAACTGCGTCATTTAACGATATCAAAAGTTGTTTTGTCTTAGCAATGCCCGGTACATATGACTGTTGCGTTAGGTGATGCCTACCAGTATCCAAGGAATACTACCCGTGTAGTCCCATCATAGTCCCCGTTGAGGGGACTGCAGGTAGCATTGCGAAATAAAACGAGTCTCGGGGATCTCGGCGTCTCCTGTCCCGCAGAGTCGAACACGGACGACGACTACGAGGACCCTGACGCGAAGATCACGAAGTACGCGACCGTGGCGCAGAGTCCCAAGGGCGGCGTGTCGGGCCACCAGCAGTGCCGGGGCGCGCAGCAGCAGCAGCAGTACGAGGCTGCCGCGGGATTCCGGCCCGCCGCCAACACCTACTCGCCCACTCCGTCGTCGGCCTTCCCGGCCGCCACAGACACCTACGGGGGATCCCACGCAGCGGCGGGCACCTACGCTGCGCCGATCTATGGTACCAGGTAACCTTCTGCCTCCTGTGGAACAAAGCACACCAGGGGTTCGTTTCGCCACAGCCAGAGAGAACTATACCGCGAGCCTTATCTGGGCTGTCTGCAGCCAGCACCTCCTACGTAACAAGGCCGTAGTGCTGAAGTTTCTACGTCACTAACAAGAGGCCAAGGCGGGGCATAGATTCGGCACGAATGCTACGTTGGTGTTCGGCTTGGACTCGTGACGGAGAGAATCTAGCGCTAAGGCCTTATTATCTATACTCGTTTTTACTTCAAAAACCGTAGTTAAAAAAAAAAGAAGTCCGGCTTCTCGCAGAGCATCAATAATTTGCCTCTTTTTGTAGATAATTAAGATAAATACGTAGGTGCATTTTAGGTAAGATATATGCCATCTTATCGAGACATACACGTTTCAAACGCCAAAAGCATCGCTTCTTCCTCCAACAACCAAATATTGTAAGAAGTACTTCGCGCAACGTATGAACAATGCGCAAAGCTTTCTTTTTCTTTTGGGTGAAAACGACTACAGAAGGTGTTGCTGTAGCTGCCCGAAAACGTTGTCCGCACTGTAGACGCCACGTAGCTTACGAGAGATCACTCGCAACAGACGCTCAGGGCCTTGCCGCAACGCGTAAACGTCTTAAAGGTTAGGATGATAATGCAAATAATGCAAAGGTACATACGAGCCAGACAACCGGAGAAGAACGACGATAGTAAGCCCTGAAAGAGGGGGGGGGGGACAAGGGGGACAAAGGACAAACCCAAACTTCAAACAGAGCAAGTTGACTGGTGCGCAACCAAAAAAATCCGCCTTTGCACTATTTGCACTAACATCATAACCTTAAAACCGGAGGTTCTTCACCCTTGTTGGTCTTAGACTGGTGGGAGCTGATTAAACCCGTTTGCTCTAATAACGTCCAAGTCCTAGTTAGCACAGTTACTAGAGCTCCACTGGAAATGGAGAGGTCCCTGGTTCGATACGAGGAACAGACGGGTTTCTTCGGTCGCGCACCAGTCACCTAGCTGTGTATGGAGATTTGTGTTTGTTTTTTGTCCCCCATGTTCCTTCCCTTCCCCCCTCCTCCCTCTCTCCCCCCCCCCCCCCCCCCCCCCTCTTTCCAGGGCTTGTTATCGTCATCCTAGAGGTTCGCTAGTACTGGCATGCGGCTCGCGAGCCGCGGTTTGGCCACCCCTGGTCTAGAGTAACGACACTCGAGGCATCTTGGTGCTTACAGTTATTAGGGACTTTTAGCAAGCCGTTACCGTGGGCCCGACTACGCATGCGCGACCGCGTACCGTTCAGATCCTAATGTTAATTTTAGCATACCTGGGACTCGTACCGTGATACCGGAGCTCGACTGGAGCATACCCCGGTGACAAAAGTTGACACCGATAAATAAATTTATAAAAATGGTGGCGCATTAGAGTGGAATGATGATAAAACTAGACATCGGTATAAACCGGTTCCTGATACTCAAAAACAGCGTGTTTTTGGCATTGCAGTCAAAGCTATGAGCGTACTTGAGCTCGCGCACCCTGGGCACCCATCAAATCATTGCGCATGCCCTCTTTATCTTCTCCCATGTGCCATGAAAAGCTACCCCCGAGTGGGGAGCACCGATATTGTGCTCGCCACTGAAATGAAACAAAAAAATTTAATCAGTTTGGCTTTCTGCACAAGTGTAATGCCCTAGCTACACGGGCAGCCTTAACCTCAGCCGACGTACACTTCGCGCTTTCCACTTTTGCCCGTTAGGGTCATAGCAGAGAGGGTAATAGGGAGAAAAAAAATGCCCTCCCCCTTTCACCCGTATGTCGTCTGCTCCGCCGAGTGGGCTGTACCTAGCATCCGGCTGGCGTACAAACTCTGCTTAAAATCGCGTCATTTTGGAAATTTCAAGCGCAGATACGCAGATTTTGGTATGCCAGTTATCGTGTAATACTATGCTAGATAAAAAGACTAACAGGGTCCAATTCCGCTGTTACCTGCGTGCAAATAAAAAAAAAATAGGGAAAACTGTGTCAGATTGGCCGGTTTCTCCGGCGAAAAGTAAATCCGGTTGCTGTACCCTTTTTACTATACAGAGTTCGTACTGGTGTAGGCCTTTAGCGACCATGAGTGGAAGTCTGAAATAATAAATAAAAACGTGCTCTCCTCCCGCAATACACGCAGTGGTTGAGCGTAGCACTGCCGGCTGACTCGACTGCTATTGAAGTAACGGAAAAAGATATGCTAGCTGATCATTTACCGAAATAGAACAGAGAGCTCTAGGCTGATTTTGGAGTAGCCATAACTATTCTAAGAACGCGAACCACTTCACAACGGCAGCCACGAGCGAGAGTTCCATGTTCCGTACAGTTCACCGGTACAGCCCAAAGATGGAGAATGGCAACCTCCCGGTTTGTCGTCTGCTAGCGGAGTCGGGCGCGTGCCCTCTCTCTCGTTTTACCCCGCCGGACCCGCTGAATTTCCCGGATGTATGGAGAGGGCGCTGCTGTCGAACAAAATGGTGCCGCCCAGAGAGCGCTAAATGGAATGGTCTATATCTCCTCTACGTTTTGCCTTGCCCCAACTTGATTCCCCTCGTGGTTCAGAAGTTGGGAACGCCAGGATTATCTTCCCTGCAGAAAACCGAGGTTGTACGTCGGCCTTTAATTAAGCTCACCGTAGTTTGCGGTCACTAATCGCAGTTAGACAAAGCTCTACCCAGCAGGCACCTAGCCAGGATTTTGTTTCGGGCGGGGTTGGATACGGAGTTGTGCGGAATAATCCAAATTCTACATATTTTTACTGGAAAGTATTTTTTTTCTTTCAGATTGTATCAGATTTATTCGAAAATGCAGAACCCTAACTATATTAAAGGGAAGCTGAAGCGGTTCTGTATATGAGGAAGGACACTTAAATCGTCTTCATTTGCCCTCCAGGATAACGAATATTAAGATTATTTTTCTATTTGGTGCACAGAGGCTACAGAAAATCATTCTTCTCTCTCCGATGTCAGTGGACAATTGATTAGAGAGAGAGTCGCACGCGCTTTACTTCTTTTTTTATTAACAGAACATGTTCAATCAATCAATCAATTAAAAGAAACATAAAAAGATGTTGATTAGGTCACACAGCACAGCTTGCTGAACTTCGTCAAATATCGTCACAGAGAGGCGGTTTGACAAATAAAAAGCAAACATTAAGAATGTTATGACCTAGACGCTTAATTAGCATAAAAAAGCATTATGTCTAGAGTGTTCCCAAGAAGTCATATTGATGCAGCGTAGAAAGTAGGGAAAAGGGATGGGAGTGAAATATGGAACTTCCGATAAGCTGGAAAAACGTCAGTCTCCACCTTGGCCGCTTCAACGATGCATAACTTGAGAACAAAAAAAAAAAAAAAAAGTCCGACGAAATTGCCGTTTACGTTTTCTTTTATTGTAGGAATTGCTCCAAAACATATATTTTCTTCGTCAAAATTAAAAATTCGACCCTAAATCCGTGCCTGAGTTGAGATGAAATCACCCAGGTATTACTGAAACAATTTTCAACAATGACCAAAGCCTCCTAGCTTTTCCAGACGAGGATGAGCGAATTCTAGAATTCCGCATTTGGCAGAGGACACACGATTGGGAAAATTTCATTCTATTATTTATTAAAATCGACTGCCCCACAACTGTGATTCTTTTTTTTTTTTTTCTTTCTTTCCGGGGTTATGTAGCAGATATGTTTGTCAATTTATATAGAATTTTACCCCAGTTAGCTTCTGTTGCACGGCAAATGAGAGAAGGAAGAAATCTACTTTTTTTTTCTTATTACTAAAAAGCCGCTTCACATGCCATTTCAAGAGTGTGTTAAAAAGTGACTGTTTAATTGAAATTGATTCTTCTACTCTATATACTCAAAGCTATTTTCCTGTTCATAGAAAGAAAAGTAGCAAAATGATTAGACGACCCAACCTGGATACAGCTAAGGTGCAAATACGAGCCCCAAGGGCCCACCATTTTGTTCATGATAAAAAGGACGATAAGCAAAAACGCACATTGTTAAAATAAGCGAGACCCTAGGAAAACACCACGCAGTATCACAAACACTAAACGGGAAGCATTGTCAGAGAAGCACTGCTTCATCAGCAAGCGTTTATTACCGGTCTGTCGCGGGAGTACAGCCACGACAAGACAGACATGGTTGGTGAGCAAAGGGGAGGGCCAAGAGCTCCGCTATAGACGATATGGTGATGTGCCAATGCTTACGACTCCTTTTAACACAAAACGTGTTCTATCAGTCGAGGTCCACGAGAACACTGTCATGATGCAGCATTACGTCCCAGCATTACACAGAGACACGCCATATCAAGAGGTAGCGCGACTCTGGGACATCAGTCACACAAGTCACAGGACACCATGATTTCACATGACATCATGACGTCGCACACACACAGCATCTGGCCAGCCCGTTCACAACACATTCTGTATGTCTCCGAGCTTGTCGGGTATGATAAAAACATGCTGGAATTTTGTTCTTTTTCCTTTCCCCCACACAGATTTGGAAATGCCCTCCGGACACTTCCGGCGCGCCTGGAGTACGGACAAGGACCTGGATCTACAAAATTCTAAGTTGTACATTTGAAGTGTGTGAGCAGCTTTCTTTTGTTTTGAAACAGGATCTTGGTTCCCTTCTTTTGGGTTTCGGTTTCTGTACATTAACCAAAGAAAGGGAGACAGACTTCTGCCAAGAAAACCTACAGCCAAGCGGGGTTGGACCTACGAGCCCCCAATGCCCGAGTCATTGCACCGAAATTCGCCACAGATGTGCAGTCAGTATGATAGGTACATCTCTCCCATGAAAATATTAGAATAAACAAAATCCTGCATGAGCAAAGAAAGTGAAAAATAGCCTATTTTCAGAAGGCACCTGTTATTATTTGCACGCAGCGTAACCCTGATTAATTTTCTTGGTTTTTGCACTCTGCCATTTAATCCAGAATATTTCAAGAACTCGCTCCTTTCAAAAGAGTCCTTTAAAACAGATACAATCATCTGCTATCGTAACGAGGTACAGTTGCACATGAGCTGCTTAGCTGTCAGATTAACGACACTAGGCAATCTTCATTTGTCTTAAAAAACGTTGCACCACTTGAGTAACTAGTAGAAAATTCTGCTTCCTTTATGGGTTTAGTAACTTCGTTCATTCAAGAGTGTTGATTAAAGTTTGCAATGCGATGTGGGAATAGGAACAGATTATTAAACTTGGGCAGAAAAGCACTTAAAGTAGATGCCCAAAGCAAATTTTGTGCATCAGATCGGGCTTTCGGGCGGCGAAGAAAAGCTCACCGGAGATAAGCTCACGGGAGAAAAGCTCACCGCAAAACCGGCAGATGCGGAGAAAAGCTCACCGGCCTTTGAACGGATGCGGAGAAAAGCTCAGATTTTTTTTTTTTTTTAACTTAGCGGATTTTGCGTCAAACGTGGCAATTTAACACAATTCGCATTCGTCACTTCATTAAAAATATGTCCTCTTTTTTATAACATTCTTAGTTCATTGGGCATATTTACTAATTCCTCAGAAATTAGTAATCACCCATTTTGTATATTAATAAAGCGGCAAGTATAAAATCAGAATTACGTACACCGGTAAAAAAGACAATTTATTGACAAATGCCAGTGCGCCGTCGGTATCTCTGTCAAATTAAGAGGTTTGTATTTTGCGAGATAATATGAATAGCGGTGTGGTGAACCGTTTCGGCTCCAAATATTGTGTAGTGCCCAATAGATAAGTAGGTGTTAGTTGATGTAATCAATGTCAGCTACACTGTTTTCTTTCTGTTAATTTAACTAACAAAACTTAAGTTACGAGAACAGCTTCCTCCTGTCGTGTCTGTTGTCTTCACTCCGTCGTCGTCGTTTGAGCGGTTTTCATCATGTATAACGTTTACCAACTCGCCCTATTCGCTACCTTACAGAAGACTACTCCTTAAATAGGTCACGAGTAACTACGGTGCCAGTGTGCAACTCGGAAGATCATGAATGGCTCACCGTAAAAGGTCACTATCACACAAAGGCAACGTGCCGAAACACCAGCACGAACGGCTAGAAAACGTGCATGTCCGTGGAAGAAAAAGGCCTTGATATCCTACTGACTGTTTTATCCTGTTTTCAAAAGGTTAACAAAAGCTTCAAAGAGAATTTCAGGCACCGCGCTGTTGCGCATGCACTTTCGGCATTTACAGTTTTGATTTCTAGGTTTTAGGTAGACATTATTAAGTTTTCGAACTTTATCCTCTTCGTCAAGTTCATAAAGTTTTCAGTTAGGCTTTCGTTGCCTAGAGAGTAGGCCACAGAAAACACTCGCCTGCAATTATTAATTTGGGAGCAATGTACCCAATAAGCTTATAAATAATAAAAAAAAAATTAAATTTCTTTTTTACAAAGCTGACGAATTTTAATGGAAATAAATTGGAGGCATGATCCAACAACCTCCATATAAAAAAAAAAAGAAAAAAAAAAAACGGTGAGCTTTTCTCCGCATACGCTCAATGGTCGGTGAGCTTTTCTCCGCATCCGCCGGTTTTGCGGTGAGCTATTCTCCGGTGAGCTTATCTCCGGTGAGCTTTTCTCCGGTGTGCTTTTTTCCAGGATTCGGGACTTGAATTGGGGCTTTTTATCCGACAATCATTGGGAGGCACGAGGAAACGTTGAGATTCCCATCCGAGGATGCTGAACGGTCCTCAACACTGTCAGGTGTAGTAAAAACCGAACCAGCTTGAACTGTCTCCATGGTTTTGCATGTTATCCTTTCTGATTAGGAAAAACTAGCGTGCTTTATCCCATTTTTATGCACATACAAAAACAGAATTCATTAGGTTTTAAACATATACCTCAAAACATGGTTACACATTCTGATTAACCTTACACTGGGTGCAAATGACTGCGTTTCCTTTCAGGTTTAATTTCGTGACAGATGGTACTGTCAGACTAGATCTCTGTGGCCAATCACTGTGCAATGGCTCGATAAATGGCCCTTTATCATTTTCGCAAGGCTCAGGGTGCATTATTGAATGCCAATTTGTCATCTTTAGTGCAATGTGTTTGGCATGGAGGTAGGAAGCTTCTGGAGGTGACATGACGCCACCTCTGTCATGCCCCCAATGATGACCAAAACCACAGCTGTTTTGGTCATCCTCGAAGACATGTCCCCAACACACTTCTGGCTTCACGCATCATAATGCCTCTAGAAGCTTGCTACCTCCATGGTTTCTGGATTTCAGTAGTAGCAATTACACAGATCATACAAGTTGTTAGAAGTTCAAAGACAGTGACGGAAAAGGCAGCGAAACTGGGTTTTAACCAAACAGTCTTGCTGGATTGGAGAACAGTACCCAGAGCAGACCTCAAAACCAGAAATCAGGTTTGGTGCATCTAAATATTGAGACTTTTGTTTTCACTTCGATCACAGCCGGCAGTAGAAACTTGGTGCCCATTTTCCAAAAAGGCATTCTATGTTAGGCAGCAGCAGGCAGTAATGATTGTTCTGAAGGACTATTTGCATGTGTTGCATTCCTGTTTTTCTAGACAAACGCATGAAGCAATTAAGCTTATGCGATCACATAACTAAAAATGCAACACAAAGAACCAACCAAATTAAAAGATGTGCACTACACCATTCTGTGCCTAAGAATGATCTGTACTGTTTTGGTCTTCTCCATGTATGATATTGCACTTGAAGGAAATTAAAAAAAAAAGAAAAGTAACAGCTGGGCGTGGATAACGGTAGAATGTGTATAAAGTTTGACTTGTCTCTAAAATCCAATATCTTGTCACTAATAATGACACCTTCAGTTTCTACCCGAGGAGAATTGAAGTGAAAGCTACGAGTTGAAACAAGGCCTGCTAAAGGAAGCTGCAAGCAATAATTGCGTGTCGACACACCACCGGCATACTTTTCGAGGAGTACAACATGAAGTGGGTTCAGGGATGCTCCAGGCAGGATACAGTAGAGCTCCATCTGCATATCATTTTTAGTGTGTCTTCTGTAGATAGCAAATCTGCTCAAAAGAGCTAATGGCCAGGAGTTGCAATTCACAACCTCAATTAATGTCACATTCTAATATAACTTGTTTCTGTTCTGTAAGAAAATACTTTACGACACAACTGCTAAGGCGAAGCACATCGAGTTCCTAATGGGAAAGATAACAAGGACTTACTTCATTGTGTTTTCCATTTTAGAGAGGATGCAAGGAGCGAAAATAGTGTTTCTCATATCATATGTAACTGTACGTGCAGTCGAGTGACATTCTGTTTTGCTCCTGAGCAATAAGTAACCTCATAAATGGTGCTTGTGAGTGTGCAGTGAAATAAAAATTGATACGACAGCACCTAACACCCGTGTCTTTCATCGACTCTAGCAACGCGAAGTGGAAAAAGAACTCTCGCAATGGAGGGAGCGGTTTCCTGTGGTAGTCTTTGGCAGGCATGCAATGCCTGGTGATAGTGATAAAGCCAAACGTACCACAAAACAGCACGCAATGCCCGATGACAAGAACGAGGCAGACAATATGACGCAACATGGGGTTGCAGTGAATAAACGGACAACATTTGTCATGGTACATTTAGTATTCTGCTGAAACCAACGTGCAATAAAGTGTGACTGCTTTACCGCGCATTTACAAAACAAACCGTGTTCCGCCGAAATGCTTTGCCGAGCCGAAAGCACGGACTGTGCTGGAATGCAGCGCTCTGGTTGCCGACAGGATAGGAACGGCTGCACGTGCATGCTCTATGCTCGCAAGACGTTGAAGAGATATCAAAGGTAGGAAAGTCACTCTGCATGTGGCACAACTGAAAGACCTCCCTGCCATTCTCGATGATCATGCTCGTATATACAGGGTGTTCCACGTAACTTAAGCCAAGGCTTAAAAACATTTTGGTGCATTGTAGGGAGACAAAATCAGAGGAATACAAGTTTGTTCACTGTTGGGAGCAAGCCGAGCTATTTTTTTTTTTTTATTTCGCCCAATGAAATAATCAGTTTAGAAATGAACTTTCCAAATATTCTATTTAGAGCAAAAGTTGCAACGATGGAATTTGTACGGCGTCCTTGGACACATCCAGCTCGGTGATTTTTGTCAAGAAACCTCCGACACAGTTTGTATTTCCAAGCTTCAAATAAAGCCCGGAAATTAATGAAAAGATGTGTGACTTTATGCTCGCACGCCTTGTATTCTATCGCTCTCAACCGTGGCTTGAACTAACCACACTCTAAGAAATGCCTGCGCGTCTACTTACCCGCAAAACACTCAAAGAGCCAATCTCTGCAATCTATGAAATCAGCTCAGAGAATGGTGAGGCAGAACATTCGTTTAGAGCTAAACATGAAGTCTGCGCTGTGGCATTACGCAATGCAAAGCGTTGTGCTTGCATTGCGTAATGCCACAGCGCAGACTTGATTTTGAGATCTAAACTGATGTTCTGCCTCATAATTCACTGAGCTGATTTCGTAGATCGCAGAGATTGGCTCTTCGAGTGTTTGGCAGAAAAGTAGATGCTCAGGCATTTCTTAGAGTGTAGGCCCATATGCTGGTCAGGGTGCGGGACGGGGCACTGTTGACGGGGCTCCAGCGACAGATTCGCACTATACTTCGTTTCATCTTGGGTCCCAACAAGGCCAACGTCATGAGCCAAAGGGATAATCGAACTGCGTAAAAAGTGCCATGTCGTGGTGTGCTCTCTGCAGTTGATATGACAAGCTGCTGGAAGAGCACACACAGAAACACCGAAAACTGGCTGGTCCTATCAACTGCAGACCGAGCACGCTATGACGTGCCTTTTTTGCCGTCTGATTGGCTCTTCGACACGTAATATCGGTCGAGCTCGCGAAATAACTCCCCGCCACATGTCTCGCGGCCAGAGTCATTATCAGTGCCTTGTTACTGTATTTGTTCTTGCAGAGGCAGCGCGCCTGCCCAGTGGGCAGGATTAGTTCATTCAAGTCACGCTTGAGTGCGCTACAATATAAGGTGCACAAACGCAGTCACAAGTTTCTTTTTTCTTCACAGGTTTTTCTTAAAGGCCCGGAAAAACGAACAGTGTTTGAGGTTTCTTGATAAGATGTACATTGAATTAGATGTTTCTGTGGATGCTGTACAACTTTATCATTTGAGACTTATATTTCAAAAGTTGATTCATTAATCCTAATTATTTCATTGGGCAAAAACACAAGAAGAGCCAGACTTGCTCCAAACAATTAACAAACTTAACTCTTTGGTTTCATCTTCCTAAAGTTAACCAAAAAATGTTTAAACATTGGCTCAAGTTATATGGAACAGCCTGTATAGTGGTTGGGATAAGATGCTAATATTTTTAAACCTAGCTACCAAAGAAAAACATTGGAAGTATAAAGCTGATTTAATTTGGAATAGGAATCCCTTGAATACTGATAGAAAGAGTGCATTTGTTTTTTCTAGTTCTGTGTTTCAGTCTGCTTCCTACAGCTTGTCATCGATAGTGGCACCAGCTGCAGTGAAAAACGGGAGCATACCGCCTGCTTCTGCTGCCCAGTGGCCCTCGTCAGCAGAATAATTTTTCGCTTTTAATGTATTACTTCCAAAACCATACATTTTGAAAATATGGCATCTTAATCCCAACTCCTAGCACTACATCCTGGCAATGTCTGAGCCTTTGGCAATGCATTGACTATTTCCGTGGCGCAGCAAACAAAGTTTGTACTCCCTTCTCTAATTTGATGTCTTAAGCAATTCAAAACCTCAGAGTCAGTGGCATCAAAAGTGTTCGGAAGAGGGGGGATGACGGGTGGAGAGATTTCCTTCCCCATTTCCTGAATTATTTACTAGGAATGTATGAAATACTTAGAAAGCGATCATGCCTGCCAGCCCCCCACCCCTCCCTTTTTCCTGAGCACTCTATTCCAAACCACACCACAGACCAGTACTGACTATATTAAAGATGCACACTGTGCAACACTCCTAGCGGAAACACGACCTCGGCACTTTTTTTGCATTTTACATCAAGACAGCACACGTGTTTGCAAGTCCGGCTTCAGGGCACTGCCATCTTGATCAGCTGGGGGGAGCTTGGATGCATCATAATCCAATTACAAAGCCTTGCTAAGGCATCGTAATCGGATTATGGCCGCACCCAAGCGTACGCCACTGAGCAAGATGGCGGCGCCCTGAGACTGGACTTGCAAACGTGCATTGGTGGAGGTGAAATTTTACAACTTAGGTTTGTGCCCCAAGTCAGCACTTCCCACCACAATAGTAGAGGTATGGTGACAGCCTTTCGAGTCTAAGTGAAAAATAAGAAAAGTGATTTGCTTGTTCGCACTAGCAGTCTCGAGGCCTGCCCAAACAGGGCATTTAAAAAATCGTGAGGTGACATGACCATCAAAAATCGTGGAAGTTGAAGTGCCCAGCACTCCGGCAGTCCGATGTCTGTTTGGACACCGGCCAAGCAAACATCACGATTTTCCTCCGCGTTTCCTCCGCTTTTCGAGTTACCTCGGCGCTCGTCAGACTAGACGTCGCATGCCACCTGCCAATGCTGTCCATCTGTTCTGCCAGGTCCTCGTATCCTTGGCTGTGTTCCAAAATTTACTCAATCTTACTCCAGAATAAGGGTTTTGTACCTTTGCATTCAAAAATCTACCTGCGTTCAGCACCACTCTATCTCTGTAATCAGCGTCGCAACCCACCAGAGTAGCTCAGATCTATTTCGGTAAGATTTTAAACTTAGCCTTTCCCTTTCCCGTTTTCCGGACCCGAAGAGCAGCGGAGGCCTTGAGCAATTGACCGACAGCCAACAGAGTTTGTTAGTGGCTGTCCAGACTACATGACGAGCGAGTTCAAGGCCCCCGTGAAAGGCACGGGCAACCTTTGATGAGGAAACTCCCCTCCCCCTCCCCCTCCCCCCCCCCCACCCAAAAAAAAAAAACTGACGGAAGCAGAGCGCCACACGATTCATGTCGTCGTATCGCCTCACGATTTTTGAACTACCTATCCTGTTTGGACAGGCCTTCACACTACACACACCCAGAATCAACCACGTTGGTCTAGTTTTAGCACATTCATAAATTGTTTCGGGAAGTGCCTCAATCCACTTGTCTTTCATGATTTACTAAACTACGATAACAACGAACAAATAGCAATGAAAATATATGTTCGCGAAGTAGTCGGTGTCCCGGCGGCCATGCCAGGTATGGCACCAGCAAAACAAGGATTGGAAGGAACAAATCCACTGGGAATGGAGTGGGCTTTCTTTAATTATTATGTGGGGCTCGGTCATCTTCTTTCAAGGCTTGCCATAGTGGCGGGTGCAGGTTGCAAAAGCAAAATAGTATCTGTTGGTGGTTCACTCGCTTCCAGTTGAAACTAGATACTTAGCAACGACGGAAAAATAAAAAAAGCATGGCACTTTAGGGACGCACAAAGCGGAGAACGTTGGTGATCTTCAAAGAAGTATACAACCATCACAACACTTGGTATGGATGCTCTCACAGAAGTCGACAGGGTAGCTTTTTTCGTAGGCCTGTTGCACTCGCAACAGCACAACCAAATGTTTGACCGTGTCGACATGAAATGCTACAGGCATATAGACTTCTCAAAAACAACGGCACAACAAGCTTTCCAGCTTTTTTGCGATCTAGTAACGGACTATCTCCTCTCCAAGACAGCCGTTCGTCCCTTGGGTTGTATGCAATGCTGCACGGAATGCAATCTTCTCATGATTCAACACCGTCTCGCAACTCGAGAATGTATGAGGTTGCAATATTACGATGGGTTTAAGACGAGGCGTAGTGGAGTGCAGCGTGGTGTGCTGGCTACTCATTCCTCTGTGGCAGCTCCTCCACGACAATGCAGTTGCAGAGGATGTCGTAGGCCGCCCTGCCATGCTGGAAGCAGAATATTGTAAGGCAGGCTGGGAACAGGAACGCCATCGTGAAGTTCTTCACAAAGGAACGCAGCAGGGCCCTGGAAAAGAAACAAAAGTGGCAGCTCACTTTCAAAGCCAAAACAAAGCTCGACGATGATCCCAAAATGTTTTAGTAGTTCCATTAGAGTCCTGTTCTTGTTTGGAGTCGTACTTGTTATTCAAGCCCTCCGGCCACTGAAATCGTCTATGTGACTCGCATACTGGAATTGGCTCGAGGCCCCTGTACTAAACCTAGGGAGTATCGTACAAATTTTTCTTCCGCAAGCACAACTGCTGATCGCTGTTTCTCCCAGGTTCTCCTAAAGAAAAATAAAACCCGATTTTAAAAGCGTATAAAACCCGAAAACTCCAACAGACTATGTTTCTCGTGAAGCAAAATTTATTTTCACGGCAATTTATTCTCTACCAGGAGTCAGTCAGTCCTCGGCAATTCCTTTAAAAAAAAAACTAAAATAAAAAAAAAGAAAATTTAAAGCCTAGATAGGACACAAATTTTGTAAACTTTTTCATAAAAGCTTTTATTTTTTTTATCAATATTTACACTGTTAGACACAATTTAGGTGGAGGTAGCCCTGCTCTTGGCCCTGCCCGGTGCGTACAAGCCTAAGCACCTTTTCTCGGCTCTCACTGGTTGGAGAGATGACCGACGTGTGAAATGTTAGTTGTAAAATGTATCTCCGTGCCATAATAATATTTAAATAGACTATTTTTATGTTTGAGAAACAAATAATCTATATAAAGTCATTATTGTTTTAAAAAATATCCCGGGATTGCCTTTCCAGTTCGGTTTCAAACGATATTAAACTATGGCGTCTGCACAGTGACCAAGGAGCGCACCTCATTGAGCTCGTCTATTTTTATGAGTGTGAGTCGTTTTGCATTCACCAAGGTGTTTAGAGGAAGACCTCCTCAACCAATCCAGTTTGCAGCAAACAACTGTCGAAGTACACGCCTTCAGAAGCGCTATTGGCACTGTGCTTGGGTTCGTAGTGGAACTTGATCTATAAAAGGACTTGTCGTTTGGCTAGTTGGTGAGGAACATTTTAAACCATGGTTAAAAGTGCTAAAAAGATGAACACAAGAGAGAAGAAGCAACCTTGTATGTCTTTTCTCTCGTGATCGTCTTTTTAGCACTTCTAGCCATGGTTCAAAACACTTTAACCTGATTGGTTGACACACTAGACGCCTTTCAAGTCAGTGCCCGTCCCTTACTTGCATGTGAAAAGTGCTCAGCTGTTCAGTCCACACGATCACGGACCGAAATAGTATTTTATTTCTAAAGTAGTAATCCTTTCTGACAAAAAAATTAATAAATTTTATTGTAATTAAATTTACTTTCTTTTTTTTTTTTTTTTTTTAGCAAGTTATGGTTTAGAACGAAAAGGAGCAGCCTTTGTTCAGTCCGACCTACCACCTGACGAGCCTACATTGATGTCACAGTCCACGTGACTAAAAAGTTGAACAAAACTTCCAAATCGTCTTCATGGTCCCGCATGGAGTGCTTTATAAGGAAGGCCTCTGCTTCCAGAAATTTGTTCATCCATGCGTCCATGCATAACCCACAGTATGTGACCTGACGTGACCTAAATCACGTCACGGCTATGTGACAATGTCATGTAACATAGCATATGTGGCCATCACGTGATCGCATCCCTGAATGTGCGGTGATATGATGTGGCATTTGCGTAACACAACTTGACATTGTAACGTCACGTGATGTTTAATGTTTTCTAAACAAATTTAAACAATCACTCTCTAAATACAGGATTCCACAAATTATAGAACTTTGAAGATAAATGTCAATGCCAATTGTTTTCAATATGGCAAAGCGCACTGTTGGCAAGGCGACACCAAGAGACGCCGACTTCTCGTGCCGATTTTTCTGCTCTCTGCCTACCTGGGTCTCAGCCGCAAATTTGAGCCATTACCCTCTCTTGTCTGCAATAACTTCTACCTGACAATGCCCAACGGTCGCGTCGCCGTTTAAATGGGGACATTACCCAAGAGGGCCAACTCTTGAACCTTTGGCTTAATACAAATGAAATTTACATTATATACTGGCAGTTGCAAGGCAGAATGCAGCGCAAAGTTTCATTTGTGTACATGAATTGTAAAATAAATTATAGTCATTTTTATCGAGAACACACCGACTTTGTTTAAAAAAAACTATCGTTAGGAAACCAATGTAATACCAATCATTTTTCTACTCTAGATCTGCAGCAGAATGCCTGGAGAGTGCAACTGTGAAAACAAAAATTTGAAAAGAGTAATTTATTTTATGCAAACATGTCAGTGAAAAATTAAATAAATCTTTTGCTTTTTACGTCGTCGACAAAATCTTAACACGTTTTATAAAAGACATCCACAAAGTCAAAAAACAATTCCACAGTCGCATTGCCCATAAAATTCCAGTTAGGAAAACAATTAGTGAGTCTTTCCTCTTATCTCATTAACAAACAATAGTTTTCCTAAAGTGAAATTTATGCCAAAAAGTGGAACGGAGAAAAGTGCATTCAAAGTGTTTTAACCCTTACCTTTTTTTAGCATTGGTGGACCGAAAATAATTTATAAAATACTGTAAACGACTAAATTTTCGCGAAGACCTAATTTTCGCGAATCGCCTAAAATTCGCGAAAAATATGTCCCGCGAACAATTCGGGCAATATAGCATGTAAACGCTACGGAAGCTACACTCAATTCGCGAAAATTAGAACCCGCGAATAATTTCGAAATTTCAGCTTTGGCCCGATTCGCGGAAATTTGAGCCCGCGAAAATTAAGTTGTTTACAGTATTAACTATGCAGTGTAAACTAATGAAACTTTCTGGGAATACTCTCTAGATGTTGGTGGATGTAAATATGGCATTTTTCTAAATCAACCTTTTTTGCAGAATTTTTTTTTTCCTGGGTAGCGTTTTTTTTTTTAAGTGTTCACTGTACCCACCTGGTCAAGACAAAAGGCATAACGACTGCCGAGAATGTGGTCTACGTGCTTCGCCGGCATTGATGGTTTCTCTCTATTCATTTGTGTCTCTCCCTTGAGTCAAGATGCGTCACAAAATCGTCGCAGTATAAACGTAGCGGTTTATGTGGGGTGAAAAGAAAAGGCTGCAGTCGCCGCTGTCGATGCAGTATACTGCGGGAGATGATCGAGTAAAGTCACCATTGTAGTGCCTCACCGGACTTCGTCTGCTTCTCTGCTGGCTTCAATGAATGAAGGACATCTACTGAGATAGTTAGACGTCCTTCACTGAATGAAGGACGTCTAACTATCTCAGTCTAACAATCATTGAAGGATGTCCGTAAACGTCCTTCAATGAATGAAGGACGTCTACAGAGATAATTACTGGCTGAGATTAGTAATTATTCCTCCGTGAAATGTGGTACCCCTGCCAAGTCTCATCGTTGCAATCAGCTGCATGATTAGTCAGGTAAGCGATAGTTGCCTCAACCTACCACTGTCACACACGAGGTCACCGTCGGGCAAAGTTGCGATCTTATCCTGCTGTCACACTGGATGACACAAGCCCTTTTCATACTGTGCAAAGTAACGCAGGTACTTTTGCCAACTCGCACCGATGTCGTCCCGCCTAATCAGCAGCAAGCTTCACGATTCCTCCACTCGCGCCAGAAACTGATATCAACACGTCACAGACCAGACGACGCACTATTTTCTCGACAGCGGAGGGATCGGAAGTGGCGCCTTAAACCCGGGGGTGGCGCATGCACTGCATTCTTAGCCTGTCATTCACTACAAGTTTTCCGTAGGAAAGCGAATAATTGAGCCACACCGCTCATCCCGACGCTTAGAAAAGGCACCAAAAAAGGAAAAGGGAAGAGGCAAGTTCAATGAAACAAGGTGCCTTGTTTCGATCAACTTGTCTCGTCCTTATGCGGAGAGCAAGTCGTCTGCTCCTTGCGCAGGAGCTGCGGTGGCGACAGAATGACGCCAAGCTCCGATTGGCTTAGACTGAAAGGATAGTGGGTAGTGGGCTTTGACTGAAAGGATAGTGGGGGGCTGGACGCCTCAAGGTCTACTCACTATATATTTTTTTTTTGTTTTTTTCAATCAGCCAATAAGAGCTTGGCGTTCAGACATTATCGCATACCCTGTGCAAGGAGCAGACAAACTTGCACTCCGCATAGTTTTCTGATTACGCCAGTTAAGGTAATAGCACCACTCTCCTATGATCAACTCACTTTAGCCTCTAAACAGGCTTGTCAGTATTGAACAGGGCTGATAGCAACCGACCTTACGGCTATAGCCACCGACAAAACGAGAACAGCATGGCACGTTTCTCGAGAGTCTGGCCTCCAGCACGCACTCCATGCCTTCTGCCGTGCTTTGGCCGGGCGTGCACGCTCGAGAGGCACAAGACGTTGAGGCGTCATCAAAGGTGGGAAAGCTCACGCTGGCAGCGGGACAGCTGAGGCTTCTCCCCGCCATCCTCACGTTGCTAGCAACTACAGAAGGTAAGAATGTTGGGGTTCTCACCAGCCCAGTCCAATGTCGCCCGCAGGGTAAACTCTTATCCGGCTATCGCCAATGTCTTCGACGCTGGCGCAGGACACGACCTTCAGCCCAAACACGCCCTTCCCGGGCGTTCGGCCGCCAGGAGTGTCGCTACCCCGGTGCAGGCAGATCGTCTGAAAGTGGAAAATTTACTCTGAGAGGAAACGAAGGGCACTGGAAACATGACCGGCACAAATGGCACAAAAGAAAAGGAGCAATAGGTTCACTTGGTCATTTTGCAAGAAAAATGAAGAACATAGGAAAAGAAGATTTCCCCCATTAACCATTCTAACGATTACTGTTTGCTTGTATGACAGTTGACCAAACCCTTAATTTAAGCATAGCTTTATTTTTAAGATCCATGCAGATTATTCAACTTTGTATTTAAGCCCAAACAAGCCTACATTTTCTATGAGCCAGACAGAGTGTTAAGGATAAAATTAAGGACTACCATAATATTTAAAAAAAGACTTTTTCTAAAGCAACAATTTCAATCGGGTGAAAGAATCTGTTGAAAGAAGAGAGCTAAAATATTCTCTGCAAACCTATCTAAACAGTTCCATTCGTGAGGCTGTTACGCTGCCACATCTGGCTCGAGCCAGGCAAAAGGATGAACTTGCAGACCCAGGCGAGGATTGGGCTTTTAAACAAAGCCTGTGCAATGCTCTGTTCACAACCACGAAGTGAATTTAGCGGAAGAAACATACCTCATAGAGGCAGACGAGGACTCTGTGGATAAGCTCGAGTACTACAATCTCTGAAGTCATTTCAAATGCCAGCCTGTAGTTGAGGGCATCAATGCGCAACGTGTCGAAATCATATTTTTCAAGATCTCTACAAGAGAGGAAAACATGGACATGAGTGGAAGAAGCTGTGAAACACAAGTGTGCAATCTGATATGCACATAAGCAATCCCAAATGGTAATCGAGTGAAATAATAAAAGCATATGTACAGAGTGCAACATAGTTAAAGGGACACTGAATGGGTATTTATGCTTGCCAAGGTTTTATTTGTATGTGACATATGAAAGCCTAACCACCCAGAACACAATTTGCGGCTCGAAATTCGTTTTCTTTCCGCCCGAAAACCACCGATCGAGAACTGGCCGGTTTGAGTCGCACTCACTCTCTTCTCCGTGGTCACGTGCCATTTTCTATGTTTTAGACACAACCACTAAAGATAATCAAAGTCGTGGGTCATCGAAGGCACACACTCAATGTTAAAAATAGAAACAAAATATGATATATAGTTTTTGTGGCTTCTGAAACACTGCAAATATGTTCATTGAAAAAAAAAAAAAAAAAAAAGTTGCACAGCCACATGATTTTTGGCAACACTCTCCTCCCCTATATTTCTTCTTCCTCCCCAGTCCAGTTTTAATTTTAATTTCAAGCAGTTTTTTTTTTTTTTTTCTTCATAAAAATTATATGTGATGCTGTAGCAAAATTTTGATTGGGTAGTCTTCGGACACCATAACAGATTGCCTAACAAAAAATAATAAAAAAATTTTGGGAGGTGTCCGGGTCCCTTTAAGACAAAAAGCAATCCGGGTTTTCCAGATTTTCTCTTGGAACTAAAAGGCTGATGTCAAAACTACTAGAGGGGTGCAAAACTTCCATTCAGGGCACCAGCTTAAGTGTTAAAATTTGGTGCTTCTCAAAGGTTTGCCCAAATAAAACGTGAAAAATTACCGATGACATGTTTGCACTGTGTTGCACAGTGTAGAAAATAACTGACTGAGCAGTATACAACATTCTATTTCGTGAGTATAAAAACAAGTTCAGACCCTTTGGGGAGTGAGTGTTATTTTTAGTTACTTCTGATGTTGACCCTAGGAAGAAATTGAGCCGCAATTTCTATGCAGCCACATTGGGTCTTCTTGAGAAGAAATTAAATATGGAAAAAAATAAACTAAATATGGAGAAAAAAAGAGCAAGGACCCAGCCAACAGTTGACCTAAATCTCACATATAGTCAGTTCTTATAAAAGTCATGGGTATACTGGCCGCCAAGGGACACCAATGTTATCTAGACGTCGACCCAGGTACTATACTGCACCTTGCAGGTTCTGCGTAGCACTATACTCCACTTCACAGAGGCTGGCACAGCACATGGCCACTTTCGTTTCCCACATGAGTGCCTTTCACATGCCTTTCATATCACACCATTCAAACTGCCAACCTCAAGCCACAAGCTGTCTGACCTATTGCTTGCTAAGAACCACAACTGCAATTATGTCAAATAAACACTGTAGAAGGTATGATGCCGACAAAACTCACTACGGCTGCAAATCACGTAACATCCATGTGAGACATCTATAGACGATCGCTACATTTATGAAGTGAAGAGGTAAATATACAGAGCACCGTTCAACAAGGCAAGCTCATATAGCTAGACATCCGGATTACAGCAGTGAAAAGCCACTTATAAGAATGGTGTAAAGGTAAGCACCCTCAATGACAAACCAGTTCAACAAACACTCTTACGTCCCACAAAACAAAAACAAAAAATATTGTAACATGAAAGCTTTAAGGTAATCTGCATACTCACATTATGTCAAAAAAGTCGACAGCAATATATGTCACCAGTAGCTTAACAAACAGCAGAATGAAGGAATCGAGAACTTCCGCAGCGAAGCGCTTCCACAAGGGCGGCAGTTTGAACTCGTGCCCTAGAAGGTGTACATAAATTGTTATTGAATGATAACAGACCCATACAAAGCGATGTGTGAAACACTTTGCCCACTGAATTTCTCTGATTTGTTAAAAGTTTAAGAAGTAATAGACCTTCAAGAGCTCAGAAATGATTACTTCAATACCCCCAGAATTCCCCCCACACTCTCACTTCAAATTTGCTATTGTTGAGAAAACTACCCAAAGGTAGACCACCCTCGTAAACTGTACCAAATGGATCGTGACAATCTGTACAACAGGATAAACAGCCTCAGTTTGGTTTCTTCAACGGCTTATAGGACAAGGAGCTTGTTCGTGGTGTGGCCTATGACAGCTATATTGCAAGCACAAAAGGCAACATTTTTAAAAGTTTTTACGGTAACCAATCCCAAGTCGGCCAACCCTTTTATTCACTCGATGTGCCCCACGGAAATGGTGAACTACCTTTCAGGCAGTGGCAAATCAGTTCATCGAACGACGTTTTATCGACACGCTATGTTTCATCAACAGCTCAGATTACCTTATTTTTCTGTAATAAGCCGCACGAGACTGTCGCCGCGCAGCAGCGTGTACAAGTCAGTCAGGTGGGTTAACATTTTTGTAATGAGCCGCCGGATATTGTCGCTGCGAAGCGGCTTGAATGCAGGTGGGGAGGTGGGTTAACACGCACCCCAGTGATGCACGTGTTACAAAGTGTCCCTACCAGGCACGTAGCCAGGATTTTGATTTGGGGGGCCCGCCACGACAATATGCGGTATGAGGGGGAGTGGGAGAGCAGGCCTCAGCAAAATGGAAGATTTCGGGGAAGGGGGAAGGGGGGGCCATGGGACCGACCCCTCCCCCCCCATTTCTGGCTATGTGGCTGGTCCCTACAGCGTGCAATCTGCGTAACGAGTGTCGATGAAACGATCGTGTCGACGAAACGTGTCCTTGAAACGTGCGTCTATGAAAAGTTGTCCACGAAACGTAAGTCCACGACACGAGTTTCAACGAAATGATAGAGATCCACACTGTTTATGAGCTGCCGCTAGGAATATTGTGACGAATGCGCGCCTGCACACCGGTTACTTTTGAGTATCGGTAGTGCACCGTAGCTGTTTCCCAACCATTCTCGTTTACGTAAGCTAACGGCATGAGAAAAGAAATACGGTTAAAGTAGTCTGGCTCATTGCAACGCCAGCTTAATAGGCCTACTGCTATATTACCCAAGCATCAAGAAGAATGCAGGGATTGGTGTTCCACGCGCCGCACGTGCTGGCCTCAGCAGTAGTAACTTTTCTAAAGCAAATACCTAAAACAAATGGTATCTTGCACGCGCGTTCGTCAACGCTTTATTTCGGTTATTTACTTCGAATCTTTTATACGGGGAAGGCGTGCGCGTTTGGCGCGTGGAACACCAATCCCTGCATTCTCCTTGATGCTTCGGTAAGGTTGCAAATGGTCTATTAAGTCATGGATTTAACCGAACCCCCATTATTCTCGCGTTAACACGTACTGAGAGACGTCGCGTTAACAGGTACTGAAAGACGTTCAAATTCCAATGGTACACAAAATGGATCAGCGTAGTGCATATTCGTTTATTATTCGAGCGAAATAACTGTAAGTAGCATTGCACCAGCAATTTAGGTGGATCAAATGACGGCTTCGCATGGTTCATGCAAGTTTTCTTAAGTTGGCGGATATCAGTCGTTTTACGTCGGACACGGAGCGCACGAAACATGGGCAGCACGTAGTAGGGAAAGTTCTAATTACCCAGCCTAGGAGCAGCATTTGGTCGTTGCACTCTATGTCCGCCAACGAGGTTTTGGTTCGCGATAAATGTTCTCGGCAGGTTGCGATTGATGTCAACCGATTCGTACGCAGTTCTGTTTTGAGTCGACGCTTGAAGCGCGACGTAAGGGAGTGCGGCCGAGAAGCACTGCCAGTGGTAGCACTGCCACAGCCACTGGTTCAGTGCCGTGATGTAGGCCTCCCGAGACGACTGCTGCGAACCCCCCGACGTCGATTCGTTGCTCATGGCAGTTGCTTCTTCATTTGGGTCGTGTATGCGCCCGTCGTTCACGTTCTCGGGGTTCGGTTTGGAAGGGCTGCTTTCGGCCATCTTGAAAGGTGCATCGATCACAAAACCTGGCACGTAACGGCACGCCCTAAAATAAATAAAAGCTGCAGCCTTCCATCACTGTCACTAGATGATAATTTAAATTAATATTTAATATTTACAACATACACATATGGGTACTTTAAATAGATTACAAGTTTTCTATGTGGAACATTCCGGACGAAAAGCACGTTACAAATCGCAAGATGTAGCAAGGTAGCGACCCCAGTCAACATGGCTCCTGTGCCGGCTGAGTATTTCGGTGTTTGCTTCTAATTTTCGTTGTTTTCCGGACACGTATGCATGTGACAGGTGATTTCAGCTTGAAGATGTGGAAGCTCAAAGTGCTTGTTGCAATTTCAACTTGAATTCAATAAGATATTCGTACGCAATCATGAATTCAAGAATAAACTTTCTGGCGAACCTCGGGCGCTGCTCGCGCCTTCTTCGGCGGCTACCCTCGAGTCACTCAAGGGCGTCGTACTCGAGGCAACTCTCGCGCATTAAGAAACTCGTCGAAGAGGCCGCAGTTACCCAAACTATGTTCGGGTTCAAGGACTACCTACTGGAGTCGTCGGGACTGCAGCAATCGCAGTTCGTGAAGCGATTCCAAGCGTGTAAGTCCATCGACGAGGTGTTGCTCTTCGCGTTCGCCGGTAAGCAGATGAAACCCTCAGAATTGGTGGCTTGTCTCGACGCCTTGGTCAAGGTTCAGTACAGAATCCTCTCGAGCTTCCAGTGGGCGTATTACGACAGCGAGCTCACTCTGTGGATCCAGGCGGACGTCAACTCCGACACCGAAGACTCCTTTCGGTCGCTTCATCGTCATCCGAGTTTCCTCGACCTCTTGCGCGAGATCGATACAAACACGAAGCACTTTTCTCCTGGCGAAGTTGTCGACGCGTTGCACGCGTTACTAAAGTTGTTTGTGGACAGGGAGCACGATGTCCTTGTCAGGCTACAAGAGAAAGCGTTGCAGACCTGCGGGGAGCTGAACCTCGCTTCTCTGGGCAAGCTTTCCGAAGCGTCAAACTTCCTAAAACGTGGCGGCTTCATCGTCAACTCGCTCATCTGCTCCCTTCTACAGGACTCGTTCGAGGCCGTGCCGCTTTCCGCGGACAGCTATCGAGACCTTGCCTTAGTATTGTTCAACGTTGCGTACTTCTTGTCGCCGGAGTACATCGACACCATCCTAGAGAAGGCGGCTACGATCCTGTGCTCGTCGAGTTCCGATGTTTCGCCGTCAGACACGGTTTCATTCATCGTAGCTGGTGGCAGGTTTTCTACGAAAGATCCCCAAGTCGTGGCTCCGTTTTTAGAGCACCTCGTGCGAAACGTCTCTAGTCTCTCGGTTCACCAGCTCTCGAGTCTCGTGCGCATCGCACGGTTTGGAAAATTCGAAGACTCGCGGCTGAAAGAGGCCGTCCGAGAGCAAGCGCTAGCCAGGATCGAGCGTGGCCTCCTGCGCACGTCGGACGTAGTGAGCTTGGTCAGCATCTTCGACGTTGTCGGCTGGACGGACGGCCTCCGAAGGGAGTTTTCGGACCTTCTCAAGATTCACATGTCGGACCTGGACGCGCTTCTGATTAAGCATATGGCTAATAGCAGCTTCCTGACCGACCCCGCCGAAAAGAACTTGACTTATCTGTTTGCAAATCGCTGGTTCGAGAAGTTGCCAGACGTGTGCAGCAGCGTTTCAGCCCTCATGGTGCTGGTGCAACTCTATGGTCGTACTTCTATCATACCGAAGCAAGCTCAGACTGCTCTTGAGGTAGGTTTGCTTCTAACGGGAGTATTTGTGCGGTAAAATATCTATGAAGCAGGTCTTGGAGAATTAAGGGGAAGGAAAAGTTAAAGGCAGGACAACCATGGTGAAAACAAACATTACACAATAAGGAAAAAAGCAAAACACAGCTACTTGTTTTTTTTTTATATATATAGAAACAAATGTTTATTGAATCAACACGTAGAGAATAAAAGCCCTAATGCCGAATTTTAGGTGTCCCCGAAAGATGGCTAACACCGAGCACAGATTCGACACAAATGCTGTGTCAGCGCTCGGCTGAGACTTGCGTTAATTCGGTGAGAACACGAGTCCAAACTGAACGCTGAAGCAGCAGTCGTGTCCAATCTCTGCCTCATATTCAGGTAGGTTTCCTTTGTAGATTGCATAGTTTGGTATAGATTCTAATAAAGGTAAGAAGGAGGGCAAACACACCTTACAAAGTTGCTGAACTCCTTCAGCGACGCCGAAAATTCAGCACAATAACTTTGTTTTCTAGGAGATGTTGATTGAACGCCCCCACCGTAAAGATCTGTAGGAGAGGAAGAAGGGGAAGGGGAGTTGACCCGATAATGCTGGCAGCGGCACATCTCTGTTCTGCTCACAGCAGACTGGAGCTCTGGACAGAAGTTTGTTGCTGTCCCGAATGTTTACAAGTAAACATTGAAGAGGCTCCATGGCTTTGCATCCATATCTCTACTTGTTCTCACCTCAAAAACCGTGAAAATTCGGCTCCTCGCTGAGCATTGCTAATTTTTTCTTCTATGTAGAGAATTAAGATATATGTAGGTCCATTCTAGATCAGATGTTATCTTGTCAACACATACACGCTTCAAACGCCAAAGGGATTGCTTCTTCCTCCGACAACCAAATTTTGTAAGAACTACTGTAGAATACCGTGCATCCGCCCATTCCGCATGAAGCGCCCACCCCCAAAATTTGAAACAGCTGAAAAAATATGCACAGTACAAATATATGTAAAATTGATGACCTCACATGCACTCATCCCCTATTTTATCGTGATTATCTTCAAATTTTGAGTGGGCACTTGCTCGGTATTTTACGGTACTTTGCGCGGCATACAAACAATGTGCAAAACTTCCTTTTTTTTTAGGTGAAAATGAGTATAGATCTGTGTCCTCTGACGTTGCTTGTAGCATTAAAGTCTACGAAACAAGCTGTGCATTTTCTTCCCTAATATATGATACATGAGGTAAGAAAATCTTTTTACAAAACAAAGTACATTGGTTTCTCTCATAGGTTGCGTGGTGTGGTATAGATTCTTATAAAGGTAGGAAGGAGGGCAAACACACCTTACAAAATAGCTGAACTTCTCTGTTGAAGACGAGCCTGTCATTCACAAGTATGCGCCTTGCTCACAGTTGTAAAAGTGCAATAAATGTGAACACCTACCATTCTAAAGCCTCCTCACTATGTGAGCATATGCTTGACAGAGTCCTCTACCAGAGCTACGAACTCGTGCTCACAGTATTGTTAACTGGTGGATTGAATTCGGATAAGCTCCGCTTTTTAAGGCATTTAAAAGATATTGATGAATTATGCAGAAAATTGTGTGTTTGGTATGCAGCTGTGGCTGTAACCACAAAATAAGAAATGGGTCCCACCATAACAGATTCTTATCCTTGCTTATATTTTGGGTTTGGTTTTGTTTTAGAATTGCAAGAAGCAAAAGCATGCAGGCAAGCTGGTTAGGAAACCTCATAACTAGGCTGTATACTTTTTGGTTTTAACCGAAAAACACAAACATCCGCCTGTGTCGAAAATACAAAATCGGTTGAAACCGAAAAACAGTTTTTTTCATATTTTCAAGCAAGCGCTGGTTTCTTTTTTTCAACGAAGAAGTCCTGTATAAAAACAGCAATAATGATCTGCCAGTGACGGGAATAAAAATTGGTCAAAGCAAAAGAACACTGGTTTCTAAATATTTTAAAAAGGTAGCGACAAATGCCCCTCAAAGGCAATCGTATATCCCTCCGCCACCTTTGCATCTAATAGCGTCCCATTGTTTCCGTGACGTCGCGGCCAATGCGCAAGGAGGCTTGCCTTCCTGTACATATTTGCTTTATCTTTCGACTTTGACTTAGCATTGTGGAAGCCACGAGAGGGAGATTAGAGTTTTCCCCCTCCGATGGATACAAAGGCTGCTTTCAGGGGCTCATTTCCCCCTCCAATGAATACAAAGTTTGCTTTCTTAAAAAGTGGGATTGGAGACAAGTTGGCATCACTCTGTAGTGGAACAAGGAGCGTCTTCAGTGAACCCTTCTTTCGACTGCGAAGGGATTTGAAACGGGCGCATCACGCTTGTGCGGGGAGTTTCTCCTACCTTCTTGACTCGTAACGGACTATAGCAATGTTTTTTTGTTGTTTTTTTTTTCACTGAAAAAGTTTTATGCAAACTTTATTATCTTACCCAAATTCATGCACTTTGCCTGTCTTTCTTTTGCAACCTACGTGGTCTTAGATTCTTGGGGCCTAAAACTCGTCGGACACAAAGCTGGAGCCAAAAGTTTGCACAGCGTGGCGATTGGACGCTGGCGACAAAAGCGCATAGTCATCGTCGTGATAGTCCATTCGGTGCGCTTCGTGAACTTCGGCCCCAACTTTGTGCTTGACGAGTTTAGAGCCCCGGAGGACAGTAGCTTTGTTCCACTGTTGTCCAGGGTGAGCGGTCCTCCTAAGCTTCCGACCTTAAAGATCACTATTAGTGGCCCGAGAGGAAAGTCACAGCTGGCTAGTACTGTCCCAAGCCACGTTGGATGTTTTGGGGCTTCCCGTGTCCAAATGTTGAGCGGACATTCTCGAATTTGCGCATCGTCAACAGGAAAGAGTGACAGGCACGAGCCTAGGAATGTATGTGTGCATATACTACAATATTCAAGTGTGAAAGAGATTGTGTAAAAGATATAAATAAAATTTGAACTGTTTTTCGTCTTCAGTGGTTATTTATATACACAATTCGTTTTCCTCGATAATCACCATTTAGAGCACCTGCATTAAGGAATTCATCAAAACGCACTGGTATTCTAGAAATAAATAATTGCCGATAAACATCTGCCGATTTTTGTCATAGACACTGGAAAGTATACACCCTACTCATAACCTAGACCCTGAGACTTAATGACTTACTAAATTTTCATATCTCTTTCGATAGAGTGGCTGACTTCTCTTGTACAGCAGAAGAACTCCATCCTTTGAATGTGTTCAGTAACTTCTGACCCCCTTTTTGCAACATGCTTGCAGGAGAGACTTGTCCAAGAACTCAAGTTTGGACAGCTGGCAATGCAGCCAGACCGGGCAGTGGCATGCTGCAACTTCCTCTTCAGGTTCGGCAACCAAAAGTCGAAGGAGTACTCCCTTCGTCTTCTGGATGACATGAAGCTCCAGCTAACCCCGGTCCGCATCTACAAGCTGCTGCGTTCAGTCAAATTCCAGCCCGAATTCGCCTTGGTAAGTTTCTGTTCTTGTTCACCATGCAAATTGCATTAAAGGAATGGCATTAGTTAGTACCGCTGTAATTGCTGTGGACAAAGCACTTGCACCTATAGTACCAACTTATAGTGGGCATCAGATTTCATAGTTATCGTGCTTCGCACTTCCATACTGCTTATAAAATCATGCTTGAAAAGAGAAGATTACAATAATTACAGAGATGGCAAAATGTTGCAAGGTGTAATCGGAAGAAATCATAGAAAATCTGCGAGACTTATAATTGAATGAAACATGAACTTGAATAAATTCATTATTTATACTTTGAAAGAAGAAAGATTGAATCCTTTATTTTGTCCATGCTGCCTACATAAAAGGTTATCAGTTAGGTAAAGTGCTAATGTTGTAGACTTGTCAACTATGACCCTCCCTCCTCCTGCCTAACCCCCCCCCCAGAAGGCTCCCAATCGCAGTGATGGGGTTGCTACGCTATTGCACCAGTCTTTGCCAGGGTTTTTACACTTATAGAGAATTATCACTTTGGATAACATTGTGTTAGATTTCATCTTTGTATGAACTCTGAGAGTACTCTAAATTTAACAATATCTTTTATTGTTTGTGTCTGTTTCAACGGGCATGACAGCGGCAAATTAGACGTTGCAATCTTACGTACCTCCCTTCACCACAGCAAAGCCAGAAGTTTGGGAAAAAAGTGCTCCTCAAGGGTGGCGGGCTGTATGTGGAACATGTGTCAGGTATTTGAAAAGAAAAGGGAACTTTGTAGATGCTGATGTGAGAACTACTACATCTTGCAGTAATATTTTTAAAATAGAACCATTGCTGGAATTTATAATAGAATGCAATATTCTCACAAGTTGCATGCAGTGGAGTAAATCATGGGGGGTCAGGAAGGGTCCCGACACCCCCCTGTGTTTAGACGGGGGGAAACGCACCTTGCAAGTTTCCCCCCACCCCCCCCCTGAGATTTTGCATTTGAACAGCCTTTATTTTGACGTGCTTGAAATTGAATGTCAACAGGCGGCATTCTGAAATCAACTTGAAGTTCCAACTCCTCGCAGACACAACGAAAAAAATAGCATCCATTTGATCGGTATGAACGGATCACTACAACTGCGAGGTTATGAAGAATAAGCTATAACGCACGCGACTCAAAAATGCCTCGTCGCCTTCACTGTGTCTTTCAAAAGGGGAGGCGACGTATCTGGGACCAGTTTGTGGCCTTGGTGAGAGCCCCACGAGCTTTAAGTGCCACTTGAGTTCTTACCGGGCAGCCTCACTTTTTTGTCGGCTTTTCTCCCCAGTTTTTTGTCCTCGTCGCCTTTTGACTCTCTCATACGCCCGTCCGTACCCCTTTCTTGTTCCTGCCTTCTCGCTCTCCCACTTCCCTTTTCTGAATCTTCTTAGCTTACTCTTTCAGAGCCGCCGTTTCTATGGAGACTAAGATGAGTAGCAAGCCCCCTTCACGGTGACGGTTCCGCCGTGAGATCTGGGCAGGCGACAACTGAGGAGGGGATAATCCCCCTCCTCTTAAAATCGGCACTTGAACTGAGCCCAGCGCGTATGGAATGGATTATGGAATGAATGAACAAGGCCACGTGAAGCAGTAAAAATGTCGTTCCTCGTTTGCCAATCCTTTCCGGCTCTGGGGACACCGATGGAACCGAGCATGGTACGAGGCAGAGTCATAGGCAGTCACGACAAAAAACGAAGGCGCCCCAGGGTCTGTCAGGCTTCGACTTAAACCGCTAAAAGAGGATTCACATATCCCCGGTGTCTGTATGGTGGCGGGTATTTGCCTACAAACAGGCTTTCCAAATGTCGTGCAGCTGCTCCTCCCTCACTCCTTCTAAATGCTCATAGACGTCCACGTTTTCTTTTTTTTTTTTTTTTTCGTCCTTTTTAGTTGTGCAGACGACCCGCGGTATGGTACTCAGTAGTTCACCCTTCCGTCTGCTTCCGCTGCAAGGAAAGGCGCACGGGATGATCGTCTTTCCCTGCCTTTGAATTCATCCGTGCTGTTTCAAGTTTCGGTCTCCCGTACCGTTTTAGTGAGGTCATATCAAACAAGTTGGCCCTACAGTTTGTTTACTTACACGTTTGTGACGAACTTCTGAGCACGAACGTTCATACACAGACGCTTATCCTCCTGCTTGAGCAATTTCGTTCACCCTCATCGATCGTTTGGCACCTGCATACATCTACGGAAGTGCTGCCAACAATGCATAGCATACCAGCCGAGCAACCTTTTTGGCTTATTGTGCCTGTGACTTTCAACTGGACTCTGAAGATGCTGCAAAAACGACAAAGTTTGCTGAGCTCCTTCTTTCTGCCAAACTCCAAGCGACCTACTTCGGAAGATGCCACAAAAGACATTGTTAAGGTGAGTTTTTTATGTAATTTATCAGTGATTAAGGTTTGTTTTCTTGGGTGACACTGGTGCAACACACAGGGGATTTCACCTTAATTAGAAAAGGGGAGTGACAGTTAAGCAGATGCCACCTTCACTATATGTTTCTTAATATATGCAAGCCCAATCGGCTTGCACTTATAAAGTTATTAGATAGGTGAATAACTGCCACAAAATGATAAAATGCTAACAAAAATCTGCAAACGAACTTTTAAATCAATGGTTTTGTGTTCTACGTTGCAATTTCAGGTTCAACGGTAGCCATTATTAAGGGCTAATCCACTTTATAGGTGCTTATTCACATGCTGTCACATTGCAAGAAGTGCTTGCATCGGCTGCCACGGGCGCCATGTTTGCGGTCTCGTTTCCACCCACGTGTAGCGTGTTGCCTGCTGTCTGCCCGCATTTCTAAGCTTGGTTTGTTAAGGTTTTTCTCATTTATCGGGTTTCTTTAGCAGAATTCAGTGCTCTTTTTCTATTTTGGCATAGCGAGGTCATCTTCTGTTATGTGTTTTGTCGTTACTGCTCATATTTTGTTACTGTTGTTCGGCTAGCTGTGCACTCTGTGTCGCACAGCTTTCCCTGCTTCAAAATGAGACTACAGTGTTCATGTGGCGGAGTAAATATGCGGCTCAGCTTTTTGGGCGCAAGAGTGATCGCTATTTTTATTAGGTAAAGCGGTGCCGTGGCACAGCCCAGCACATCCACAACGTGCTTGGTAAAAAGTGGGGGATTGTTCTCGAGCGACGAGCAAGGGTTACGTCGAACGCAATGCTAGACTCTTCGTAAATATTTTCTCATTGTTAGTTTGTCACAGCAAGCGGTTTCCGAACAAATTTACTGACATTAAGAAGTACCTTGTTCGCTCAGCAAGCTACCCGACACGGGATGAACTGAAAGCTTACAAGTACTTTGAAGCACACAACTTCTTGACAATTCCACCCCTCCCGTGGCCGTGCGGCACTGGTGCAGAGAGGTCCTCGGTCCTCTTTAGACTTGTACCATACGCATTACAAGTAATCGGATCATACTTCAGTATTAATTCAATTACAGTATTTAATTACTTTATTTGTAATTTGTATTTGTAATTAATCACTTTCGGCTAAAAGGAATTGTAATTGTAATTTAATTACTTTCTAGTGTCATTAATTGCAAAATTTTAGTCACAATTAGAATTACTTTTGCAAGACTTTGTGGTGCCTACGGAACCTCTCTGAAAGCCTCAGTGCTCGTGCAAGTGGCCTAGCGCTCGGTTACACACTCGCACACATAGACACATACACACACGCACAACAAAAATAGCGTGCCGTTGTTTGTTATTTTGTTGCTTACACTGCGGGCTGAGAAATAATCCTCTTTGGAGCCCACCTCAATGGTGCTGTGTCGCGCCGTCTGCGGTGCGAGCAGAAAACAATAGCGTAAACATGGCAAAATAATGAAAGAAACAGAATTGAGCTTCAGCTTTCAGCCGAGGTTGGGGATTTTAATTGTCTGTGAAGTTATTTTTCTGTTTTTGTCACTATTTTACGTCCCTCTTCCAGTACTGTCGCATATTTGTTTCTCTGTATTATTTTCAAACTTATTTCCTCTTGGCTTTACTTCGGATATTATTTGCATAAGCATTTTGGAGACTGACCTCGCACATGTGAATAGTGTCGCCATTGGTTCAAGAGCCCCGATTCGGTTCTTACATATTTCTGAGCCATTATAATTTCAACTCAATGTAAGTAATTTACAATAACATGAAACGTTTGTATGTGAATGTGGTGATATCAGTGCATGTGGATTGCAGTTTTATATTTACACTATTAAAATATTTAGATATGACTAATTGTCGCATTGTTATGTGCCTGGCTAACAAAAGTGCGTAATTTTACTTCAGTGATTTGGCGTCTTTGAGTATACGAACAACTTTATTATTAATTATTAAAAAATATAGGAACGTAGGTCTTCATTACCCCAAACTGTCAAGTTATATAGTTAATTTAACAAAATTCACAAAAATAAAGTTCAATACTTGACATTTATACAGCAATGCTTAAGCCTCCTAAAACATTGGGGCAAAAAGTGGAAAAAATGTGTTGTGTTCTAAGCAACACAAGTCAGCTCGCTCTCAGAAATAATTTTGAAATAATTGCATTGCTTTTTTAAAGTAATTTGTAATTGTAACTAATTACTTTTTATGTAACAATAATAGTAATTGTAGTTAAACTGTTTGGGGGCAAGGTAATGGTAATTCTAATTAAATTACATTTTGGAAGGAAGTAATTTACCCATGTATGAATCAAATTACTTGTAATCAATTACTTTTTGAAGTAATTTTGTAATCAGTTCATTACTTTTGTAAGGCTGTAATCACAAGAGTAATCCGATTACATCTAACCGTTCAGAATGTCTAGCGACCGGGAAAACCGGAAAAACCAGGAATTGTCAGGGAAATTTTAATTATCAGGAAAAATCAGGGAATTGTCAGGGATATTGTCAAAAAGCGAGGTCAGTCAGGGAAAATGAACCAGAAACGCAATCAAGTGCCGTGAGTCGACTCAAGAACTTGGGGGCAGAAATATAGGCAATAAATTCTGCTTAAAGAGGA